TTATTACTATTATTATTATTGTTATTATTATTAATATTGTTGTTGTTGTTGTTTTTATTAACCTTTTCAAGGCCACAAGATGATTTCGAAAATGAAATTACGTTATTACTTGTTTAATAAATATCCGCGTATGTTGCTACATTGAGTTTAATTTTGTCTTTTAATTATATTATTAATATTATGATCCAAGTTTTGTCATTGATATGGTGCGAGTCACGAAGATCTCACCTGACTACATGTGTAATTATAATGTATGTATAGTTTTTGTACTTATAACGGTAGATACCTAGATATGGAGAGATCAAACGTTTTTGCCACACTTTAATATGAGAATTCAGCTCCAAAACTGTTTTAGAATATATCAACTGAAAGGTTTGACAAAAGATAAGGCTCCCAAATTTATCGTATGTTTCCGATGGGACGGATCTTTGTGGGTGGGTGGGGAGCTTTGAAACGCACTTAAAGTAAAGTGAGCAACCAAAGCTCAAGAAAGCCCAAGGGGATTTGGACAATGTTGTTGTCGTCATTAGCTCGAAACCGATTGGGTTATCGCCATGACTTTCATTGTGTGTACGGATACGTACATACGTACACACACACACACACACACACACACACACACACACACACACACACACACACACACACACACACACACACACACTCACACAAACATACACACGAGTGCACATGCACATAATTATGAACTTGAGATTTTATTATTTTTTTTCCCAGGCGATGGTATCATCAATGAGATGGATATGAAGAACGTCTACAATGTTGAGAAACACCCGAAATTCATGAGCGGAGAGTGGTCGAAGACCAAAGTACTGCAGGAGTACTTGAAAACATTCGAAGGAGATTCGAGGGATAAAGATGGTGTGGTACGTTGACGTCATTCGTCTCTGGCTGTCTTCTTCACCCATTTGTTATTGTAGGCCTTCCGTGTGTTCACTGTTTATGAGTTTGTTCGATTGGATACTGACTTATGAGCTTTGTTTGTTTTTTTCTGGTAGTGCTGCTGCTGTTGTTGATTGTTGTTGTTGTTGCTATTGTTGTTGTTGTTGCTATTGTTGTTGTTGTTGTCGCTGTTGCTATTGTTGCTACTGGCTATGTGTCCCCTTGTAGTAGGTAAATGGAATAAATAGACCAGAGAAAGGAATTTTAGCAAAGCCTAAAACAACTTAAGATAGTGAACTATCGGTTTTATTTTGATCAAAGGTTTCAATGCGTATTTGAAGATGACTGTTACTTATTTCCAATGCAGTTTAAAAGGCTATTATTTCTCATTACCCCCCCCCCTATACACACACACACACACACACACACACACACACACACACACACACACACACACACATATATATATATATTTTTTTAAATTTTAAATACATATATATATATATATATATATATATATACAGTTTTGTATATATATATATATATATATATATATATATATATATATATATATATATATATATATGAACCCCACCTACTTTACCTCCAGCCTCCCCTGTGGACGCACTTTCAAACATAATACAGCTTTAACATTATGCTGGGAGTTTAGGTTGAAGGTCCTTGGAGTGTGTCCCTGAGAAAGACAGGATTACTCTAATTAAAAACAGGCCGCTGAGGATTGGCAACCACCGTTTTAATAATATGTACGTTAGACATTATGTATCGATGTGAACATGCTCTTTTTATGACACTGGGGAAATATTATAATAATAATAATATATATATTCTCTCCCCCCATCCGCAATCCCTCAAACAGGTGACCCTAGACGAATTCATGTCCTACTATGCATCCATCAGCTGCAGCATCGACAACGACGCCTACTTTGACTTGATGATGAGGAACAGTTGGGGTATGGATCTGGGAGTTTAGACGTACAGGTATTCTCTTTGTTTTTTATGTTTGTTAAAACTCAAAGTACAATCAATTATTTTTGTTTAAGATTTGATTCCTAAAATGATTCAGACAAAGTAGGCTACCTGAATGGAGTCTGTAGCGTCATGAGAAGCTCTTTGCCTTATGCGCAAAGTATATGATCATGATTTCCACCTATGTCAAGGAGACATCTTTTTGGTGGGCCTGTATGTATTTCTTCAGTGATGCATTCTACATAGTCTAGATGAGCCATAGCAGGCAGAATTGAAGTAGTTTGCCTCCTCAATTGTCTAAAGAGTGTCTCTAGAGTTAAATACCACTCAGAAGATCAATAACAATAATATAAAGAGATGTCAATACTTGTTTGAATTAATATTATGTCTGGTACCGAAAGTTTGTCTGGCATTAAAATGTTTGTTTCCTATTGATTTGGGTAACAATATTCATTTTACGGTTTCTATCACTGTCTCATTGATTTTCTTCTATACAGACGGACATCCCAAGACTCAAGTTCAGACGAAAACAAAATGTTATATTAATCATCGTATTCACTGCAATTCATTCTCCTCTCCACGTCAATGTAAAAGCAGCTTGTAAGACTATGGAGACCTATTGAAACTTTATGAACTATTAATGATGTCATATTTTGTGTGCTTTTGTTTTTGTTTTTAGCTCGAACCCAACTAGATACCATGAAGCCATTTTGAATAAATTTCCTTGACCTCCCCCCAAAACCCCCTCTTTCTGCCTTTTTCTATTCTGCAGCTCCTCTTTTATTGGTACACGTTGCCGAGAAAAATTCGTATTGGAAATGCTTAAGGAAAAAAGCTCTACCCTCCTCTGTCCCAAAATTCACTCTTTGTTTTGATAAAGTTTTCCATCTGTCAACTCCATTTTTCTTGAATGTTAGGGGCCTGTGTAGTACGCCAACCACCAATATGGTTTTTTATCATAATTATGGCTGGCTGCTTCGGTCTAGCCTTTCAGAGCCAACCCAAATTGAATAAGACGAATCATTCCTGCTGAAAAAAAAACTTAGATACCCACGGAAATCGAAATACTGACTGAAAGTGCTCCGAGGAGTCTTTAAAGAAAACGCTCGATGAACAGAAGAAAGTAAGCATACGTTCAAGGTTGGGATCAGCGAATCAGATTAAGTAAGGAAGGCATCTAAACAATAAGTCTAATGTTAATTGAATTTCCTGTTAAAATTGCGTACTTTTACGATCGGTTTTATTATAAACAGTCTTCTTCATTACTGTGGTATCATACCAAAACCATCGTAACAAGATGTTATAAGTTGATGTTGTTGTTGTTTTTATTACATGTACAGAATGCATGCAGACAATGGAGGGGGTGCAAACTAGTCCTATCTAATATTCTCATCTGTTTCAAGTTTCTGTCTTTTTAGCCTCAATTTGTTATTGTGATCCATGGTTGCATGTACATTGATTTGTTTTTTATTATCACATAAAAATCATTATAAAAGAAAGATGGTAAGATGTTCAATAAATTTCTTCCCATCAATCGCTTTTTAAATAACGTGCTACGAAGTGGTCTGGATTTACCGCCTCTTTCAAAATGCTAAAAAGAAATCATGTAGACTAATAAAAGGAATCAATAGAATTACTTGATTAAAGAACGTGGGTCTTCAGAGACTGGTTCTATCCATTCTCCTCGCCCTTCTTAATTAACAGGGTCAATTTTAAGATTGCCATAATGATGTTCTTCAATAACTGGCTGCTTATTCGTCTGCCAGGTTTGCTGCTATTGCTGCGCTTCCCCTGCCCTGGCTATATTCCTTTCCTTTTCAGTATCTCCACTGGGTAGGAGCTCTTGCTCCCCAGATGGTAGCATGCGAGTGCAGTCACAGTAGAGGATCAAGTGTGAATGATACCTTTATTCCAACGCTGCCTGCCAGTTGATCTGCACGCTCATTTCCTCTCACACCTACATACACAGGACAGAAGATCCAAGTGATCAGATTGCTCTCATTGATTTCTGTAAGTCAGTCAGCATTGGGTCTGTCAAAATTGTGACAGACTGATGTGTACCTTTGCTCCGTGCACAAACTAGAAAGGGTGTAGGATTTAGCACCAGATCCCCCTTGTATGCACAGCTCATGAACTCGATCGGTGAAAGCTCAACCTGACTTGACACCTTGTTGAACAGAGCCATCTGCAGTTGTTCTAAATGAGATCTGTGTTGTTCCGTCTGGCTACACATGGCCTCCACGTTCCAGGGTAGCAATGACATTTGTGTTCTTCTCAGCCTCATCCACAACCCTGAACCAGGAACTGCCTTCTCTTAATGCCTACACAGAGCAACATTTACCAATGACTCATGTAGCCTCTTTTATTCTTGGGAAGTCTATTTAGTATATCATGGCAGCAGCCGAAGTGTCCTGAGTATGGCTCTCATACCTTCATTCTGAATAACTTCCAAACTATAATATTGATGCGTTTAAGACAAAGTGAGGAGCCCAAAGCCGTATACAACAACCAAAGTTTGAAAGAATATCACAAGTACCCTTTGTGGCATGTTTGCGCGAGCCATAGTCTTAACAGCCTTCAGCCCTTTTCTAGACTTTCTTGTAATGCGGTTCTTTTCCTGACAAAGTTCTGTCAAAGACAAATCCAAGGTATTTCAGGGTTGGTTTCCTCCTGGTGGCCTGGCCGTTGACGGATATTTCTGGCATCATGGTTTTCACTGCTCTGCCCATTATTCATTGCCAGGTTGAACCTTTCCGATGTTTTCTTCACACCAGGTTTCTATTCTCTCAAGCTCTTCCTGCCTGTCTTTTCCTGTGCGATAAATCCTCGTCAGTAATGCTGGGATCCCTTCCAGACCCGTGCTATTGGTTAGAAGTGATGCCCAAGAGCTTGGCCACTATTCTTGTTAGCATGGCTGCTCCAATCCAGATGACTAGTGTAGGGCTGATCCGCATGTTTACTAGCGTCCTTAACAGAATATCATTGTGAAATCCATTGTATTATTATAGGCAAATTCGAATTGAATTCAAAAGGGTTCTCTCAATCTTCTCAAAGCCATTGTACACATGGGTTCTAGGACGGCTGCATAAAGTTTATCCATGTTCCCTTACCTTTCCTGAAGCTCCTGTAGAGGCTAGGGTTTTTTTCTCTCTTGCTTTCCTATACATATTCCAGTAACTCAGGAACATACCACTAACATCGTGAAGTTCATAAGGTTTTTCTTCGACACAAGGGAATACCGTACATCCACTTTTCTAAATATGTTTACTTTTAATTCCAGATCGTAAAGAAAACTGGGGACACCAATATTTCAGATCTGTTCTTCAGTGGAGCCCAAAAAGAGGCTGTAAGACGCAGGAGAAAAGTATACAATATAGCCTATTAGAAACCCCAGTCACCATTTTGTTGTATATGGCATTGGGCTTTGTCAGGCTAAAAGGAATAAGTTCTACCATATGTGATTGTATGTTACCGAGTACACTATATGCATTTCCAAATTATTTCAGCTCAATGTTTTTTCTGGTATTTTTCTTTCTTACTACGTCGTAAGTATTCCCATCCTGTCATAGATCTGGAAGTTCTGAGCTCATTGTTCAGTTCATACCATATGAATACGAGGTGTTTTTTTCCCAAGACATATTCATATTATAGTGGGAAGAGGGTGAAATTTCCTACAACCAAATGTTGTCTTATGTGCACTGCTTCTTTGTTTATCCCCCCCCCCCCCAAAAGAATACACCAATTTGACCAGCAATGTCCGTCACGACGGCTCACTTCAACAGCTGTATTTAAAGAGAATGACAAAAGATCTTGACTACCTTCGACTTCTTGGGGACGAGAGTGTCAAATGCACCAAGATCTTTATATTGATTAATGAAAATCATTTTAGATATTATGCGTGTAAAGATTCTAGTCTATTTAAATCTGTAGGTCATTATGCCCTACAGAAATGTTTTTAAAAATGATGTATGCGTCCAGAAACAATTAGAATAAATCTTCAGATTTTGAATACTTTTTTCTTAGGATTTTAGACTATAGTTGTTCATTTCTATGGCATAGTATTGGTGAAGAATGTGTGTAAATCTCGCACACAGGCCCAAACGAAATATATTTACGCAACAAAGATTCTGAGCTTTTATGTTGTAATAAATGTGCAAATACAGTATGTTTACTTGTTTGTTATTTCATCTTTACAAAATAATCTTTTACCCGCTAAATTTTTTTCATGTCGTTAATTTTGTCGGTTTTATCAACCTCACGACTCACGGTCAGTTTAGCGTCTTGCCGTACCCTGGTCGAGAACACTTATGCCACTTTAGTGAAATTAGGTGTGGTGTTCAACGTAATTTTTACAACGTTCAGGTTCAGGTATTATTTACTAAATATGGTGCAAAGTTTCTCCAAATATTGATTTAAGTGAAGTACCCATGCTTAATTATATCTTTCTCTACACCCTCTCTTTTTGTCCTTCCTCACTTCCCCTCTCTCTCTCTATCTATCCCCCCGTTCCCACCCACCCTCTCTCTTTCCCTCCCCTCTATCTCTCCCTCTCTCTCTCTCTCTCTCTCTCTCTCTCTCTCTCTCTCTCTCACTATGTGTGTGTATATATGTGTCTGTACCTTTTTCTATGTCTTCTCTTCTCTCATCCTTATAATTATAATATATTTTATTTTTGGTATGTGCTTTTTGCGCACCCGCAACTGCATAAGGTTATAGGAGCGCGCAGAACACATTAAACGTTTTCAGTTGGTAGTAAAGTTTGAATTTTGCCCGTGTGGCGACCCGGACGCCTACAAGGGGGCCTCCAAGATTTTTCGCCCTTATCCGAGGCGGGTTGTCGACCAGGAAGATCATGTATAGATCAGCTGTTTGTTCTGAGAAATATCGTAGAACAAAGCAAAGAATGGAATATCCCAATTGTTGACTTAAAAAAAGCCTTTGACTGCATAGACCGAGAGGCTCTGTGGAAGATTCGTGCAATTTATGGCATCCCAACAAAAATAATAAATTGTATAATAAGATCATTATATTTCAATGTAAACTGCTGTGTCCTAGTTGAAGGAGAACGATCTACACCTTTTGAAGTAAACACTGGTGTTAGACAAGGTTGTATATTATCACCTGTACGTTTTGGAATTGTGATCGATTTTGTAATGACACAGGGTAAATACATTGAAACAGGCATTGGATGGACAAATGACACATATTTAGGAGATCTAGATTTTGCGGATGACATCTGCCTATTAAACATCACAGTGCCTTAAATGCAATTTTTTTTAAACAGACGAACTAGCAAAAGTTGCGGAAAATGTTGGCCTTATAATAAATGTGTCCAAAACAGAAGTACTACGATTATCATCAGAAACTACGCCCATCACTCTTTATGGAGAACCCCTTGCAGAAATTAGTAAATTCAAGTACCTCGGCATAATATATCCAAAACTACAGACTGCCTTGACGACGTCCACCAAAGATTTTAAAAATGCATAGATCGCTTTTGTGAAATTAAAAACTATAATAATATGGAAGTCAAAGATCATTTCTTTGGAGACGAAATTAAAAATATATAAAAGCAATATTTTGGCTGTTTCGACGTATGGTTTAGAGATATGGAAAACAAACAAAACATTTCAACAAAATTTTAAAAGCTTCCAAACAAAATGTCTATAAAGAATTTTACTAATAAAATGGAATGAATTTATTACAAATAATGAAGTGTTGAAAAAAGCTGAAATTAAAGATATCAACACAACAATAAAAAGAGGTGAAGATGGGGATATCTGGGACATGTTCTGAGAATGTTGAAGACGGGATTGCCCTATCAGACATGGCATTGGAAACCTACTGAAAAGAGAAAGATGGGAAGACCTACTGGAAGCTATAGAGGCACGATAAGAGATGAGGCAATCACCCAGGGCCAAGATGTGCCGACATTGGAGAAAGTGACCCAGAACAGATAAGCGTGGCGTCGACTGCTCTCCACCTTATGTGTACCTGACGGTATAAGGAGAGAGTAAGTAAGTAAGCAAGTATAAGATCAGGGGTGTGGCTAAAAGACAGTAAGAAGGAGCCTAGGAGTAGCAGTAGAAAGTCTGCAGAAAGAAACAGGAACCCAGAGAAGGGGGCAAAGGAGGTGAGGGGGTGGGTTCAGAAAATGGAGACGAAAGTAGATGACAAGAGGCCTACATTGTTAGAGGGCAGGAAACAAGGTGAAAGGAGAAAATTATTATTATTATTATTATTATATATATATATATATATATATATATATATATATATATATATATAATATATAACATTAACAAAGGTGAAAAGATCAAACAAGTCCAACATTTAAATATCTAGGATATATGATAACATCTGATTCCAAATCTTCCACAGAAATAAAAAGGAGAACAACAATGGCTAAGGCTAGTGTCAATAAAATGAGCCCAATCCTGAAAAATAGAAACATCTCAAGGAACACCAAAATGAAAGTCCTGAAATGCTATGTTTGGTCAACCCTTTAATATGGCTGTGAATACTGGACAATCACTAAAGACAGTGAAAATAAAATAGAAGCAACAGAAATGTGGTTTCTTAGGATGCTGCTAAGAGTATCGTGGAAGGAAAAGAAATCAAATGATGAAGCCCACGTGGGACGCTCAATGTTAAAAACAATCAGGAAACGACAAATGCAGTTTTTGTGACACCTGAATAGACATAAGGGTCTTGAACATCTAGCTCTCACTGGCAAAATTGAGGGCAAGCGAGGCAGGGATAGGCCCAGAACAACATACATAGGGAACCTAAACAAGTGGAAAGATCAGGAAAACGCAGCTTTTTTTAGAGCATCCGAGCAAAGGAATGCATGGAAAACCATGATCGCCGATTTCTGTCGCAGATCTGACACTTGATGATGATGATATATAACCACTCCCCCCCCCCCCCCCCCCCCCCACACACACACACAACAAACACACATATACGCTCACAAAAACACAAAAATGAATACAGAACTTTACACATTTCTATACACACATGTATTACAGTAAATACGTAATATATTATAAATCTTTTATACAAATTATACCCATGCACAGCACACACACACACACACACACACACACACACACACACACACACACACACACACACACACACACACACACACATTCACACACACACACACACACACTCACCCTCACACAAACACACACACACACACATATGCGCGCGCGCGCGCGAGAGAGAGAGAGAGAGAGAGAGAGAGAGAGAGAGAGAGAGAGAGAGAGAGAGAGAGAGAGAGAGAGAGAGAGAGAGAGAGAGGAGGGTGTAGATTATGTACAGATTGTCGGGGGTTTTTTTTAACGGACCATTTTAATATAAATGACAATAACTTGGTTGTCTTTCTGCCAATTTTAATAAAACTTTGAAAAAATATAATTAATTCAAGGGGAAGTCAAATGTGTCATATTGAAGAAAATCACTATGTTCACGTGCGGGAAATAACAAATTCTAAAGATTTAAACCAATATTAATTTTTAGAAAACATTAATTCTAAGTGATCAGCTGTAAGGACTGTGATCGGCTCGGTCCAGTTTCAGGACGAGGATGATAAAACCGCGATCATTACAGTAAGGTCCCCTTGCACGTACAGTTAGTTCATTGGTCGACAAACTGTAGGATATTGAAAGAATGGCGGGGATCCTGTCAACTTCCCGGTAAAACTGAGCGTGGAAACGAGCAATCATCTCGATAACGAAGGGTTCTCAGCCCAGCCACCAGATATCTGGTGAAGCCAGATATTTTCAGGCCGGCGAGTTTAAGGCATGACGACCAAGGAGCCGCTTCTTTGAATCTTGATGTTGCCCCACCAAAGGGGGGGGGGGGGTGAGTAAATGCATTCCAAAAGTTTCATATAGCCTATACTGGCCGAATAAAAATTAAAAAAAGATTTTCCTGATCAGCGACCCAAAATTAGTCAAAATCACGCGGTGGGAACTCAATTTAATGCGGATTACCAAGTTAATTTTATGTATGTGTTTTGTATGCTTTGGGAAACCATAATTATTATTCACCCCAATAAGTTAAGTAGGCCAGGGCATGGAACTGAATGACTAATAACAAAATCTACAGTCTTCAATAACGTCAAGAACAGGAAAATAATGCAAATCCTTAATATTATTATGTTCTACATGTTGAATGGCATACTTTCATAGAGTACCATAAATAGCTGAGCATGTCTGTGGAATTCGACTGGGCGGTGATGCAGAAATACTAGATGTGAATTTGAGGTCTTTTTAGGTTGCTCATGTAGGAAGAAAACAAAATGCAGCAAGTCTTTTTTTCGAGAGGTTACTTCTCTCATCACTGTTGACTGTTGCTCAATCTTGGGTCTGATCAACTGTAGAGTATAGATGTATGCCGGCTCATCCAGTCCAAACAAGTTATTAAAGTTCGTTGGGTAAGTTCCTAATTCCTCCAGATTGTGTGTGTACAGATACTTCTTTTTTAATAGCCATTCTTTAGCCCATATGATCCTCTTTCTAGAGTTCCCTTTCGATTTGAGAACAAAAAATGCTGTCACATTGTCCAGGTAACTTGCTATAGCCATTTCGTTGATGTTTGGCCTAGCTACAACAGTCCAAGGACTAACACTTTAAGGATAAACAACTGTACGTTTTAACGGAACCTCTCTCGTCAACAAACTGTCACTGTCAGTTCAACGATGACCGAGATCTAGCGTCTCATGTCGCTTAAACTGTTATTTTATCGATGAATTAACTGCACGTCTAAAGGGGCCTTTAGATGGAGGTCTCACCATGCTGAGAAATATTTCGGGGAAGTTTAGGAAGGAGATGGGGCTACTATGTTGCTGAGGAAATCTAGCTCCTGTAGGATAAGGCCTCACCCGACACATCAAGAGTGACCCATGCAAAATTGCAAAGTTGCCATTAAGACCTGTGCGGGGGTTCGAGCCTCAGCTCGGTCCGACGTAGTGTCCTTGGGAAAGGTACTTTACATGAATTTCATTTTTGATTCGGTCCTTTCGGGGATGGACGTTAAACTCGGGGGTCCCCGCCTCTTAAATAGCCTAATAGTGTTGACAGGGGCGTTAAACCTATACCATTTCACCATTTTTCATCGATATATTATTATGGTCACTGATTGGTCAAAAGAGAT